CCACTCTGCCTCTCTTTACCTGTGACCTTGTTGTGTGCCCCTCTGGCATGCTGTGTGCCCTCCAGGATTTGTGAGTAATAAACCTTGTGTTTTAAAAGTTCCCTGATGGTTGTTGCTGAGGTGCATCTTGCAGTCATTAAAACAATAGGGGCAGTCCAGCCACAACACTGGCTCTGGTTGGGGAAATGTATATAGGGGTTCACCACAAATAATAAGGGCCTAGGTGAGTGCCCTCAAGCATTCCCAGCAGATAGCATCACTCTAGGCAGCAAACGTGAGCATATCCTGGGTCATCAGGAAGATTATTTTATAATCAAATACAATCAAAGAGTCATATGGTATCTCACTGTGCTACTTCAGTTGAGGTAGACTAATGAGGAAGGCAGGCTTAATATGTAAATGACACACATATGCCAAGTAGAGGCCAAAGACCTCACTCATATTATATAAAATGAATGATGGCTTTGTAGGAGTTCAAATTCAGAATAGGACTAAAAGATACTACCTTGCATATGGTAGTAAAGGCATACTCTAAAGAACATACATCATATTAATATTTTGAGCTGTGATTTGGCATAAGCAAGACAATCATTATATTATTATGCTCTTTGAATTTTGATTTTTTATGAGTATTTTAAAAAATTTACAGACTCGTGTTGATTTTTATCAGTATGGTAAATTGGATTATTCTTCCCAATTTTTCATACCCTTTTTATTATATAGAATTATACAGCCAACCTTGTATCTGTGACTTTGCAATACCTTCACTAGAGAAGGCAGATGGTTACAGGAGGCTGGAAAAAAAGGCAATCTGTATTATGTAGCAGTGAAACCTTGGCAAAATGGCACTTTTAATAACATGACGGCAAAAAAAAAATGTACCTAGTGAACTTGTGGCATTGGAAAAGGAGGTACTGAACCAGAATGTTGATGTGAGGAGGCTGCAATTTGCTGCATTTGAAAAGGTACCACAAGAAAGTGATGAGCTCAGAAAAGAATTGGTTCCAGTTTGCAGGCAAAATCGAGAGGGCATGTAGAGAGCCTAAAAATTCCAGAAGCTGTAGGGTTGACAAATAAAATTGTTTCTTGTTTCCAATCAGTAACAGATAAAAATAGAAAAATACCATGGATTTGAAAAGACCTACTGAAATAGGGTAAATGACATCAGGGAAATGACAAAATCCAGTGCAACCTCATTAAGACAAACCTCACAGTAATGCTGACAGTGGATACTTTTACCTGGGCAAAATGACTTTGAGAAAAGTGGCTAAGTGGTCCCACTGATGCCTGATGCATGCAAAGTACTTGTACTTAAGTCTAGAGAGAGAGACACAGCTCACAAAAATTATAGTGTGGCTTTTGGCACATGAACTGGCTGTAATTAACTGCATCAAAAACCAAGAGGTTTTTGAGAGCTGTGTTTGCAAAAGTGCAGCACTACAGAGAACAGTGGACTGGGGTGTTGCTGCCAGGGCCTAGTAAAGGAACATTCCCTATGAGC